TCCAGTAATGGTGGACTATAACTTCTCAAACTATGAGACAAAACAAACTCTCCTATAGGTTGCTTTTTTGTTGTTAGATATTTGGTCACAGCAAAAAAAAAAAAAAAAAAAAAAATGAATAGGTTGCCTTGGGTAGTCTTATGACCCATTAAAAACAATGGTAGTCACGTGGTTCTGTAGCTAAGTTAGCCAAAGCACCTGTCTCATAAGAACAGTAGTCTCAGAAGGCATGGGAATTAACAAAGAGTCTAGAGCATCTGAGGTTTGATAAGTAGAGGCAAAGGGTAGATTCAAAACTAGGAAACTAGGTGTGATACATGCCTGCAAACCCAGAAGTAGGGAGGCAGTGATGATGGAGACAAGAGGATCAGAAATTCAGGGTCAGCCGGGCATTTGTGGCACATGCCTTGTTTTGTGGTGCATGCCTTGTTTTGTGGCGCATGAGAATGTTTCAAAACAAATACAACACCAATAAAAGCTAGGATGTTCAACTTAAATAAATCTGAATGTAGGTAATAAACCAAATCTTTGGGAAAAATGGGAGAAGCAGCAAAGGGAAATGAGTTTTAGCTTCCAGGCATGGTGGCACCTGTTTTTAATCCCAGCATTGAGAAGGAAGAGGCGGTTACCCTGTGGATTCAAGGGCAGGATCGTTTACAAAGGACAGCCAGGGCTATTACACAAAGGAAACACTGTCTCAAACAAACACACAAACAAAAAATTTAAGTTGGCAAAGTGGTGGTGCACACTTTTAATCCCAGCACTTGAGAGGCAGAGGCAGGTGCATCTCTGACAGTTTGAGACCAGCCTGGTCTGCACACTGAGCTCCAGGAGAACCAGGACTACAAAGTGAGACCCTGTTTCAAAGTAACAACTGAAGACTTAAATGGGCTTGGGGTATAGCATGGGAAAGGCTGTAACTTTGACTCCAAGAACAGAAGGGACAAAACAAAAAAAGGCTGGGGCAGGAAAAGAGAGATCGTTCAACCACTGAGAGTACAGGATGCACTTCCCGAGGACCAGCGTTCAGTTTCTAGCATTGATACCAGGCAGCTCACAAGAGGTTTATATGCATGTAACAGCAATTGACGTCACTTTCTAAGCATTCTACATGCATTAACTCATCTAATAATGAGTCAAACTGGAAAGGTTTTGAAAAATGCTTGAAATTGAAGCCAGTGAAAAGGCTAAATTTCAGTAGTCTTTTTTTCCATCTCTAGATAGTTTCTCTTTGTGTGTAGCCCTGATGTCCCTGATGAAAGGGAACTCTCTCTGTAGACCAGGCTGGCCTCAAACTCACAGAGATCTGCCTACCTCTGCCTCCCAGGTGCTGGGATTAAAGGTGTGTGCCACTACAATGCCCAGCCAAGTAGGCTGATTTTTAGACATCTTGTGTGAGAGTCTGTGTAAGAAACACTGTGAATTTACTGTAAACTATGGATGGGGCACAGTGCAGAATGTTCTTCCCACAAGGTAGCCCTCTAGAAGAGAACTGCATAAACTATGTTAAGTGAATGCACTTGAAAGCAAGGACATGAAGGGAATGCCCCGGCATGTCTACATTATCTCTGTGGGAAAGACAAAGGCCTGGGAGGAATATTCTTGGGTCTTTTCACATGACCAAAGATGGTAAGACATAACATCAAGTGTATTCCCTTGCTGTCTTTGTATTCACTTAAGCTAACTGTAAACATCACCTCATGTTTTGCTTGCTTTAATAGTAAAAAAACTCGAAGTGCTTTATTTACCTACTCTTGAACTCAAAGGCTTAGAGTCCCCTCTTTTACCCCAAGGCTGATCTCTGGCATTTCCACCCCAGGAGACAGCCTTAATGGCAGGTGGGATTCAATAATCTTGCTCTGAAACTGTTACATTATCCAACAGAAAAATAGAAAGTTAAGACCATCAACTGCGAGCCGGGCGGTGGTGGCACCTGCCTTTAATCCCAGCACTCGGGAGGCAGAGGCAGAGGCAGAGGCAGAGGCAGGCCGATCTCTGTGAGTTCAAGCCCAGCCTGGTCTACAAGAGCTAGTTCCAGGACAGCCTCCAAAGCTACAGAGAAACCCTGTCTTGGGAAAAAAAAAAAAAAATCATCAACTGCGGGCTGGAGAGATGGCTCAGAGGTTAAGAGCACTGACTGCTCTTCCAGAGGTCCTGAGTTCAATTCCCAGCAACCGCATGGTGGCTCACAACCATCCGTTATGAGATCTGGTGCCCTCTTCTGATGTGCAGATATACATGGAAGCAGAATGTTGTATACACAATACTTAAAAAAAAAAAAGACCATCAACTGCCATTCATGGTGAAGCACTTGGTAAACTGGTGTATCTCTGAAGCATTATGCAATGTGGCAGCTAGTGTCTGCAAACCCAGAACCCCAGCTAGTGTTGGGAAGACAGGAGGATTGCTGGAGCTTGCTGGCCACAGGCAAAACAAAATGGAATCACACATTAAAGCTCCATGTGATCAAACTTTAGTTGTTTATTTTGAGCTCCCAAGAAACCAGAAAAGAGCTCATAGTCAAATCCCCAAGCTGGTCCGTTACAGCCAGCCTGATAAGGAAGTCCTGATTTTAACCTTTGGAAGGAAAATATATTAAAAACAATCTATCTGTTTTTAGTTCTATTTCTTCTTTCCACGGCTCTTCTCTATCTGCAATGCCAAGCTTCTGCTCAGCTCATCAGAATATCCACGGTATAGAATGAGAAGTTGTCTTATTCTAGGATCTTAAAAGTCATTACAGTCTTTAAAACTGTTGTAATTTCTTTTAGGAAACCCAAAGTTCACCTTTAGTCCCAGCACTCAGGAGGCAGAGGCAGGCGGATCTGTGTGAGTTCAAGACTAGCCTGGTCTACAACAGCTAGTTCCAGGACAGCCTCTAAAGCCACAGAGAAACCCTGTCTCGAAAAACCTAAAAAAAAAAGAAAAAAAAAATCCAAAGTCATCCAGGCATGGTGGCACAGGCCTTTAATCCCAGCACTTGGGAGGCAGGCATATAGGATATCCGTGAGTTTGAGACCAGCTTGGTCTACAGAGCTAGTTCAAAGACAGCCAGGGCTATACAGAGAAACCTTGTCTCAAGGCTTTCAAGTCCAAACAGAGCCCTCTTCCCTTCTGACCTCTTCTGCCCCTTGTCTTATTGGCTTTATTATCTTCCAGTCACACTGGCTTCCTTGTTCTTCCTTAATGTTAAGGCAGTCCTAGTGTAGGGACTTTACACTTCATGTTCTTTTCCAGCTCTCCCGTTCCATCTGTGCTTGGTTGCTTTTCCCCTCAAGTGTCTCTTTTCTCTAAGATTTATTTATTATGCATGCATGTATATGCCAGAAGAGGGCACCAGATCTTATTACAGATGGTCTTGTGAAACACCTTGTGTTTGCTGGGAATTGAACTCTGGACCTTGGGAAGAGCAGCCAGTCGATCTCTCCAGCCCCAGCCACTTACACGTTTTTTGTTTTTTTTTTTTTTTTCTGACACAGGGTTTCTCTGTGTAACAGCCCTGGCTGTCCTTACTTTGTAGACCAGGCTGGTCTCAAACTCAAGAGATCCGCCTGCACCTGCCTCCTGAGTGCTGGGATTAAATATGTGCCGCTACCACTGCCCCGCCAAGTATCTCCTTTTAAAAACTGGTTCACACCATTTTTATGCATATACTCAAGTCTTTCTCCCTTACTCCTATTCCTTGCCTCTTTATTCCCTGGCACACAGGGTTCGACGCTGCTATCGATCAGGCCCGGAGGAATTTTGTTTTTGCTTTGCTATCATGTCCCCAACCCTAAAGCAGTTCTTGGCACAAAGACATTAATGAATACTCAATGTGAAACCTCTCTATTTATTAGGAATACACGAACCTCCAAATTTCCCCAAGAGATTAACACAGGCAGGTGACATGTAACGGCTAATCTGAAATTATGCTAATAAACGCAATACTTGAGACTTGCCAGCTATAGCAATTGTGAGGCTATCATAACCGACCACAGAAGCCACATCTTGTCAACTACCCTTTCCTCGTCTCGGAGACTTTTACAGAGAAATTTCCGTTTAATTCCAGCTTTCTAGAATGCGGGCGGCCGACGGGCTGTGAGTGGTGTCACCGGTGCACCGGGGGTGTGTGCGACACCGTTTAGTCCAGGAGTCTGCGTAGGGAACGGTTCACTGGACCCGACGCATGCGCACCTCTCACCACGCCGCAAGGCGGCTGCCAGCCATTTTGTCGCGCGTCCATCCCCGATTTCGGGGTGGTAGCGGATGCAGCTGCCAGAAACGGCGGCCACAAAACGGGGGGGGGAATCTCCCCGCCTCGTGCGAGCTAGAGGATCCAAGCGAGCAGCGAAAGGCGCAGGGCGGAGCACTAAACACGGGCCTCCTGGCGTCCCGCGTTGCCCGGCTCCTCGCCAGGTTTTCCTCCCAGCTTGCTACGCGCAGACCTAACGCGCAGGCGCACAAGTCACGCAGCGCCTCCTCGGCGTCCAGGGCCGCCGGTTCTTGCGCGCGCTTCCCGACCCCTCCCTGGATTGGTCAGATCGCGGAGCCATCAGCCTGCCTCCGCCCTCAAGGTGGAGGAGGAAGCGGAGGGGCGGGGCTGCCGCGCGCGTGCGCGCTGCTCTCCGCTGGTCCATTGCTGCTATTGCGTTG